GAGCCGGAGGGAGCAGGCAAGCTGCGCCGGGAGCTCTGCGCCGGGGAGGCAGACGGAGAGAGAACAGCAGTCTCTCCTCGGCACTAACGAACAAGAAGAAAAAACGACTGCTGCTTGTTACAATCGGATATGCTATAAGGGAAACAGATTTTTTTTTTTTTTCCCTCCCCCCAGAAGTATTTTTAAGAGGAAGGAAGAAGGAAAGCTGTCCCTGAAATCAGTGCTCTGGAGAGCTGCAGAACGAGAAGTAACTTAAAGCAGAAGCAAGACCACGAAAGCCGCGCGCCCTGGCGAGGCAGTTAAACCCGGGGCCCAGAATCAACCGGTATAAATCGCCGTTATTCCTCAGCCCGTGTCCGTTCACATCATTGCAGTCGCCCCAGCTGAACGGTCATGCAAACATTTAGGAAGTAAGCCATCACTTAGCAAGACAGAGCAGGCTTCATGAAACGCGAGCAGAGAACGGGCAGGGGTAGAGAAGCAGCAGCGAACCAGCGGTACAGGCTGGTTCAGTTTTTTTTTTTTTTTTTTCCTAAAATGGAGAGGGAAATGTCACACGACTCTGGAAAACGGATTCCACTACCTTACGGAAAATTTCCACTACAGCAAGTGATGGGGACAAACTGTTTTCCAAAAGGAGAACAATATTCTACCTAAGGTCTACTGTCAAGTCAAAAAATGACTGGGGACCCCACTTTTTGGAGGAAACTCCATAGGACTTTTCCATAAAAGGGCAGGAAGGCAGCAGCCAGCGGCGCGGCGAGGTCTGCGAAGCAGGTGACCTGCAGAGCAGATCTCCTCGGGACAGTCAAGAGGGTTCAAGCGCAGTCAGACCCACACCGATTGGGGGCCGTGTAAATCAGCGGCGACAGCCTCAAACCTGACCGTGCAGGCGTGCCGCGCACGCTCGTGGCTACCCAGCGCCCGGGGAAAGCACGCGCCTCGCGCTCTCCGTGCTGCACACCAGCTCCCCTCGCCAAGGGTCCTACCTCCATCCTGCAAAGTCCCAACATGCACCGAGGGCAGCAGGAGTTGACGGTGTTAATCACCTCGCAGGAGCAGGTCCTAAAACAATACTCCTTTATGGCTCGTACATTTGAGAGGAATTAATCTGTCAATATTTACTTCCCTCGGGGACAAGCTGTGCAGGACTCCATCCTTGTGGCTATCAGAGAATCAGAGCAAAACAATAACAAGACTGTGGCAGCGTTACAGATCTCCACCAACCGCGTTAAAAGATATCTTGAGGCAGTGTCAAAAAGTTAAGGTTGCAAGAGGAAAAAAAGTGGATGAGAGAAAAAATAAAATTGTTTAGTTAAAGCAGAGAACAAACTAGAGCTCCTGGCCAGTACAGCAGAAAACCCATCCCCAATCGCTGCAGCTATTATGAGAGAAAATATTTTCTTATGGAAAAGAGAAGAACATTTGAAGGATGCTAATAAAGCCAGTAATAATTTGGGGCCTCCTCAAAGCAAAGACCCTGCGGCTTTGGAAGGAATCTTTTGGAGAAGGCAGGGAGCGGCGAATAGCATTTATCCTGCGCATGGATTCGAGTCTTGCAAACAAGCCATGAGCCTCTAATGCTTTAAAACAAAAACGTACCAGCTGAGAATCTGAAAAGCATTCTAATGCTGCAGAAAAAGAGGTTCTTTGTTGTCCGAAAAGACACAATCATCTTTTCTTTTTTCTGTCAGCAGTAAATACGCCTACATATAAATACATCTATATGTAAGAGCCATAGACTGTAAGAGCCTTATCTTTTCAGACTCTCCCCCACAACACAGGACCGAAGAGAAGCTCTCAAGGGCACGAATACAATAGCATCTCTCGTGCACGCGGCTAAACTACATGTAAAACCACCTTATTTTAATGCTGACAGTCTCAGAAAACTGTGCTACACAAGCCAAGGACCTTCCATGGGTTAGTGTGACCTCTCCATGTTTGGATGCCACCAGCTGCCCTCAGTTACCAGTGACCCCAGGGCTCAGAAGGAGGAACGCCCTGAAACAGCACCGGGTTTTCATTGCTTTGCATAGATTAAAGTTGGCGGTAAATCCTCCAAGGAAGATGTGAAAAGGACAGTCTGTAATTGCAATATTTCTTTCAGGCGGTGGACGCAGATTGCGACTGAAGAAAAGTTGTTTTGCCAAGCAACCCGATGGGATTGCAAAGGACGTTTTAGGGCAAGCTTCAGCGCGTTCCACAGCGGGCTCCACACAAGGAAGAGCTGTTTGTGTATAAATTACGACTACTTCTCTTTCATGCTAATGCTAAGAGACCCTTTGCCTCTGCCTAGCTAAGACTGAGTACAGATGATGGTAGCGCTGTTGCAGTCAACATAGCCTAGCACAAAAGTAAGGCAAGGTCTGCAAATAGAAGGTATATATTTTATTAGACCAACTAGGTTAGTTGGAAAAATGGGCATGTTTGGGGGTGAACACACACTGGCAAGCTTGCCCGCTTTTTGCAGCTAGGGTAGGCGGTCTAGCAAAAGAGGCTGCTTCTGCCTGCCAAGCTCGTCCCGGTAACGCCCCGCTCTTTATCCTTGGGCCCACCACATCTCTGTAAAGTCACAGGGCCACTTCTCAGGCTCCCAACATTTTTACGTCCTTTTTCGTTATGGACCTACACTAGCTCGGTCCATTGAACTGAAACTCTTAATGTTCGACGTTACAGGCATAATTTAATTAGGGGGAAGCATGCCTAAACAGGAAGTACAGAAGGTGCTTGGGGAGGTGGGGAAGGTGGAGCAGGATTAATCTAACTCAAGGGACAGTGAGTCCCTGCCAAATTCCTTAGCAGTAAGCTAAGAGAAGTTATCTGCTGAAGAAAGTATACTTTCCTTTCACAGATAAATTTAATTATTCTGAGTTGCCAGCTGAAAGTCATGCGGATTTCTCTTTCAAAGCATCTGTTCTTGCAGAATGAAACAACAGATATATGGGGGGCGTGGGGGGTTCTGTGTTAAAGGCAATCTTTCCATTTTGATATCAACGGCTGTATGAGTAAATCTCGTAACAGCCACTTCAGCAAAATAGCCTGGCAGAACTCTACTGTATCCACTGACAATGTTCAAGTTCATGGTCCAGGCCCCCAAAGTGCAAAGTCGTTTTTCCTTGTGCGCAGCACAGCAAAGTCCGTGTGCGCGTGACAGCCTGGAGACGTGCTTCCCCAGCGTGTGCCAGCTCCCCTCCTGCACAAAGCGGAGGATCGGCCACCCCAAGCCACCCGCCCACCTAAGAGCGCACCACGTTTCGAAGTTCAAGCCGCAGTTTGAGTGTCATGGTGTGAAGTGATTTATTCCTATTAGGGGAAACAGTGCTGTTTACATAGGTCTTTTAATATTCACAACTTCTCAAAAGACCCAGTCCTTACAAAAACCCACATTCAAACTTTGGCTCTCAAGAGTCAACTCTTCTGAGAGAAAGCGGTGTCCAAAAGAGCCTTTTACAGACTTTCATTCATAACATGGTTATGCATTCATACCATGGTTATGGTATTTGCAGTAGTAATTCCTGACATCTGATATATTTTTCATCTGTGTTTTTCAGCGTCCCACGTCCCTCCCCTCCACTAGGAAAATGACCGCTTAGTAACCAGCAAGGGGTCCCCTGAATTAGCATCAACAACACAGGATGGACCAGGGTTTTTTCCATCAACACTACCATTTGAAATGTTTTCGTACTAGTTCAGAGGGAACCACTGCTGACAGTTGCTTTCAGCAACAAATCAATTTGCTTGGGCAGATAGGATGAAGCAAAGACATAAATACACCAGCAGGCGGGATAGGAGGGTGTGCACACATATGTCACGCTCTTTGTAGCTTGCTTTTATCAGTGGGTATTAAAACCAATGGAATATTTGAGCCCATCTTTTTCCTGGCAAGTTTTCAATTTTTTTTTTTTTTTTTGGTTCCACATTGTGTTTTCAGCTCCTGCTTTTCTTTTTAACAGTGTCAATGATAAACTGCCATCCCTTTCCTGGACGAGTAACATTTGTCACGGGATCAGCTCTCATGATCAGATCTCCATTCTCAGTATATCTGGTGTGGCGGTATGTGTTTTCGGTTTTGTTTTTTGGGGAGGGCTGTGTTTTTATTTGTTTTGGGGTTTTTTTTGTTTTGTTTTTTAACCGGACCTCTGGGAGTTGGCCTCCATTTAGAGGATACGGCTGGAGCCCTTGTGGTTGAGGAGAAAATGCTGAAAATGAGGAATGAGAATTGAGTGGTCGGAAGGTAAATAAGAGCAGTCTAGGACATACTACTTCCAGAATATCATGACTTTGAAGTCAGTATCATGTCTTTTGAGATCTGATTCGGACTTATTAAATGCTCTGGAATAGTAGCACCTCATTTTTCAAATAGCAGATCATTAATCAGCTTAAATAATGTCAAAGTCCCAGGCCCTGTACATCATTCTTCTTCCAAGGGGACTGTCTTGATAATCAGCCTGGAAAAGTTTAGGTTTTGTAAAAAGAAATGTGGTTTGTTTTTTTTTTTTTTTAGAACTTCAGAGCAAAAGGGACACATTTATTCTTCATTTGTAATTTGACAAGAAGCGTTTCTCTTTTTCTCCTCTGGCTCATGGAGCACTAAAACTTTTTTCATTTAACCTCTTACGCTTGTCCTCTTCGGTGGTGTTACACCGCAGCAAGACCAGCGTAAGGGAGCGGCACACTAGACCCCAAAACAGCTGGTACCGCACCGCAAGGGTCTGGGGTTTCAGCTTGTTCTATCACAGCCTCATGCAATATGGTCACCACAATTGATTTGTCTCCTGCGCTGATCCTATAATCCTGTTGCCCCATTAGCTTTCGTCAGCTGGGATCGGGTCCTCTCGGACCGTCTCACAGGAAAAGCAGATCTACGGGCAATCCTCTCGGCTCCGCGTGGGCGGCTGCACCCGGCGGGGCTCACCAACAGCTCGGCGCTCTTGGACTGCAACGGAGAACCCAGGTTTGTTTGCCTCGAAGGGCAGCTCTGCGGGGACCACCCCAGGTCCCCGGCAGAGGGTGTCCAGGGGCCAGCCGCCTCAGTCACTGCTTCCCAAAATTTCACTCACAGGAAATATAGCGCTATTTTGCTTGCTTTGCCAAGCCCAAATACGTTTGGGGCAGGGACGAGCGCCCACATTCCAACAGCTCGCCATTCGTAATAAGGATTTTCTGGAAAGCTGTCCAGAAGCAGGCCCTGGAAAAGGCCTGGAAATCCTAAAATCCTGATTTTAGGATTTCCAGCTGTGGCAATGTCCCTTTAAAGCCCAAAGGCATTGAAAGGTCCCGTGGGTCTCGGTCTGACTGCACTTCCCCTTAGACTGGGGTGAGGGTTAAGGTACTGACTCGTTCTGACTGCTTCTCGCCAAGGAAGCTCTCGAAGCAAGGAGCGGACAGAGGACACCCGCTGCGAGCAGGCACAGCTCGGACCTGCTGCCCTGCGCTCAGCCCCCTCCTTCTCTCCCGTCTGCCTCTCACGAGCTCTTCCCCAGCCGACTGCATAAAGACAGCAGCTCTCCAAGGCAGAGCACTGACTACCTCTGTTGTGGCAGCTACATCCAGCGCCCACTTGAAAAAAAAAGAAGGAGAAGAAGAAGAAAGAAGAAGACGAGCATGATGTCAGCGCTGGCTGCCAGCAGCCGGCAGAGCCGCACAAAGGGGCCACTTTCCCTCACCCCTCCTCCTCTGCCAAACAAACGGGTGAAAACAAGGCACCGCAGCCTGTTGTTGAGATGACGAGGCTTCAAGAACATGCAGGTGCTGCACTTGGGACAATGAGCTCCACAGTCCAAGCTGCTCAAAACAATCTCCTCTGCAGGCACCAAGAACGGGAAGAAATTCCCAGGGGAACTTGGAGGCCAAGGGCAAGGCTGGTGGGGCAGAGAGGGGTGGGCTCGGGAGGCACAGGGGACACGTCATCCTTCTCCCCCGGTCTATGTCACCTCCTTTCTTCCTCCCCTGCTGTCCCTGCAGGACCAGCACACTCGCAGTCATGCGCTTCCCTCCGCCTATGTCTCAGCTTGCTTTGACTTGGGTGCATCTGCAATGCGCAGGGAAAATTCGGAGGCTGTTCTTTCCCTGCAAGCAGCTTGGGAGTCTAGACCCTCCTCCAAAAATAGTAACGCTTCCACAGCAAACCAGCAAAACCCAGCGCCTGCAGGCAGCTGTCTGCGTGTCGCTGCTATCACCCTCCCGCAGACACAGGCGGTGGCCTCGCGTGAGGCTCTGTGCCAGGGGACTCCGTAAGACAATGCACAGTAGGGCCTCACAGCCCTCCTCTCTCCTCCCTGCCTCCTCTCTTTGTCCTCCTCCTTGTGTTTACGCCTTCTGTTCGCCCCGCAGACTGCAGCAATACTGTAGTACTTCAGGCACAGCCAAGCCCAGACGAACATGTTTTCAGGTGAACATGCTCAACCGACTTGCACCGCGCTGTGCTGAAGTGGAGGAAGACCTCCCGCTCCGCACGCCTGCGGGGCAGACGGGCGCCTTACCCAGGAGAATGATGAGGATCCCTCCCAGCTGGGAACGGCGGTACTTGGCAGCTCCAGGCTCATGGCCCATCCGGATACAGGGCAAGACCGTTATCAGCAAGAAAATAGCCGGAAGACCCAGAACGGAGGCGGCGATCATCAGTGCTCGACACGCTTGGACGTACCCTGTGGGCAAGGCAAGGAAAGACGATTCTGATTATTCGGCACGAGAGAAGACGACCTTTGGACACAGGCTGCTGCCTGACCAGCTCCCAACACTTGCCTGGAATATGGGAGAGGGGTTCAGTCCTTTGTGCAAATAACTAAGTATTCACCTGGCGTAAGGCAGAGGGACTGCATTACACTGGTTAGTGCATGAACACAGGACATGCAAGTTCAAATTTTTCCACAAAATAGGTTGCGCTGCCTGGAAAAGACAAACTCTTCCCAGCAAGGCACTGAGAAATCGTGGAGCTGGGGAATAGAGGAAGGAACAGAAAGGGAAACATCTGGGAAGGAGTTTTCCTAATTCTTTCCAGAAACAGTCTTGAGTAAACAACAAGAATTTAAAGTCTTAAAGAAATGGCTTGCTCTGACCAGAAAAGGTCTGCAGTACCCGTCGGAGGAGTGCCGAATAGTTTAAGATTTGTTCCCGAAACGCGCAGGCCTGTAAGACACGCCGTCACCAGCTGCACTGAGAAGGTGAGGACAGTTGACTTGGGAGAAAGCGGGACACTCGGCGATCGGAGTCCCGTACCCACACTGCACATCGGGAGTTCAGCCGGAGCGCGGGGTCCCAGGCGAGAGCCCCGTGACTCGAGCTGACCGCTGGATCGGAGTTAGGGAGAAGAAACGACTGCGCTTCTCAGAGTTGTTTGAGCTCTCCTAACCGAGGGCCAGGTTATTCTTCTGGATCCCCACAGACATCTCTGGACCCCCGGGCATTTCATGAGGGTCGTCAACCCTGTCCTTCCTGCCTCCCATGCAACAGCCGCCTGACACGAGGCGGCGAGGGACAACAGGGGCCTGGGACCGTGAGCGTGCCGGTCAGGGCCCAGCTATTTATATTACTCTGTGAAGGGCTATGTATAACAATGTATTAAATTATTTATATTTGCATTTGTATTTATGTTTGTATTTATAAGATAGGTCATTACCTGCATGCACAAGGGAAAAAAAAATCAGTGTAAGATTTGCTCCAGCGCCTGGTGAGCCTCCCCGGCTCTCGGGACAGTCTCAGCAGGGCCAGCGCCCTGGCTCTCCTTCCCTTTCTATTGACAAAATGAAGCTGCCACATGCAGACATGGAGTTTCATGAGGACTCAAGGAATACTAGCAAACAGGAGTCTCAAGCAAGAACCGCTGACATACAGCTAAAGGGACCGGGAGTCAGGATTTTACTCGTCCTGGACTGTGTATATTGAATATTTGCTTCATTTTTCAAAGAAAGCTAAACAAAAAACAAGTTCTCTCATGAGTCCGGGGCAGAAAAACACACCCTGTAACAAATCAGGTGCCAAAGCCCAGTGTGGTTTCTGCGTAACCGATCCCGGTTAAACTAGCACAAAAACACGTCAGTCGTAAGGACTTGACTCAGTCAGTGACAGACGCTGGGCACACTTCAGCTACCAGACACACTAAGGTGCATTTCTGTCGGGGACAGCGATGGACATCAAGAAGTTAAAAGCAGAAGCATCTTGTTTTCTGATCTGTTTCTCCTGAAGAGAAACACTGTTTTCTGTTGCTAAAAGTTGTAATTAGCTATTAATTAAATTTCATTAAAGAATGTTTCTTCAGGGCGAGTCTTTTCTCTCTCTTCACTACCGGATCGTATTGAACAGCAGCAGCAATAAGGAAGGTAAATCTGCTAAGAAGTACGCGCGCAAAGGGAGAGCAGAAGCAAGCTGGACAGATGCAATGTTGTTAGACGCCATGTAACACAGACTACTACAGGGGCTGTATCAGAGAGGAGTTCAGAAGTAGTCTTTCCAGCCTCCGCGACATTCTCCTCCCAACAGCGTAGAGGAAGGTTTGTATCTACCCAGGCAGGACTGGAAGAGGCGTCTCTGAACTGCTACGTGAGATGCAGCTGAAAACGTAGCACAACGAACAACTGCTATAAAGCTAACAGAGACTGAAAGAGATGAAATCGCTAACGCACAGGGACAAGATCACACAAGGACTTTGGCTGGCAGGCTTGGTTAGCTCAAGAGTTATACTAGCATTGACGGTTCGAACACCTTGCTAAATTTTTGCTTTAGTGTAAAACTAGTTGAAAATTACCACATAATTAGAAAACGTCAAGAGAGATTAAACATAGTTATATCTGTTTGCTATGTAAAAGTTTTACCTTGCGTTAACACAAGCGGGAAGCACAAGAACATCAAGACTAATGACAGTCTTCCCAAAGATTACAAGTGATAGCATCATTAACAATAGATCCTGAAAGATTCGTTATTCTCCAAATCATTTTAGGGGATTGATCTTCAATATCTGTAACAGCTCGTCATCCTCTCAAGGCAAAACTAAGTGGGACGTCTGTATACTTCAGGATACTGTATCGTACCTTAACACACTGTGATGTCTCGCAATACAGTCTAGATGAGAGATGCGGAGGGAATCGCAAGAGTTTATTGAGAGCAAGGATTGATAGCATTAAGTGGGCTTTAATAGCATAAGATGCTATGCCTAGATGTAATTGAAACCCGGCCCGATTTACTGAAAGTCACGCTGAGAGCTATCATTGAGATTCTGTGGCATATCCAACGGGCCGGCTGCGGCGGGGAGGAAGCGGAGGGGGCTCTGCCGCGGCTCGCCCAG